TCCTCCTCCTCCTCCTCCTCCTCCTCCTCCTCTTATTCCTCCTATTATCATTATGATCATGATTATTATTATGATTACTATTCTTTATTATTATTATTATTATTATTATTATTATTATTATTATTATATTATTATTACTATTTCTATTGTGATGATGATGCTTATTATTATTACTAGTATTAGCAGTATTATTATTATTAGTAGTAGTATTATTATTATTATTAGTATTCTTCTTCGTCTTCTTCTTAGTATTATTAGTAGTATTATTATTCGTCTGATTATCCTTCTCCTCCTCCTCCTCCTTCTCCTCCTCCTCCTCCTCCTCCTCCTCCTCTTCCTCCTCCTCCCCCCTCCTCCCCCCCTCCTCCCCCCTCCTGCCCCTTCCTGCCCCCCTCCCCCTCCCTCCTCCTCCTCCCTCCTCCTCCTCCTCCTCCTCCTCCTCCTCCTCATTCCTCCTCCTCCTCCTCCTCCTCCTCCTCCGCCTTCCCCCTCTCCTCCTCCCCCTCCTCCTCCTCCTCCTCCTCCGCCTTCCTCCTCCGCCTCATCCTCCTCCTCCGCCTCCTCCTCCTCCTCCACCTCCTCCTCCGCCACATCTTCATTTACCTCCGACGTCTTATCACGCATCCCGTCACCCTCGAGGGCCGAGGTATCCAGGGTCGGCGGCACTGGCCGTAAGGCCCTAGCAATATAGTTTCAAATCTAGAGCCGCACTCCCTGAAGACTCACGGGGGACGGAGAACGCAGGCAGAAGTAATCCGATAAGGACAAGCAGAGGGCAAGGCTGCATTGAAGATGGATGACGCGGACACGCTGAAGCCATGAGGGCTCAGATATTCCGTTCGTGAGGAAAACAGCGCACCAACAGGGCGGCCAAAACATGAAAGCCTCCGCACGTCGGTGGCGGTACTGGTATTTGGTGGTGATGTTGGTGCGCCATGACGCCCATGCTTCCAGAAAGTACCTTCACTCATGCCCGTCGGAACTGAACTTTTCACATAATATGGAGTCACCACCTTCGCAGTCTAACCAAGGTAGTAGCTCATAGAAGCGACTCCAATCATCATCCAGACGGTGGCAAAGAGCAGACCCAATCAGCTACCGGAAACCTCATAAACCAATAGTGGCTAGTGTAATGGCAGACATGTGAAACTACGCCTCGTTGATGGTACGCGGAGTTCCGCCGAGATCCAGACACCCCTGCATCTCGCTGAAAGGGAACACTACGTCGCACACATCAAAATCATCGCAGATGCAGTAGTCAGCGAAGCTGAAAAAGACTGTCCAGACCAAGATCATCGCCAGGAATCCGAAGTGCGCTTCCACCACGGGAGGGGCCCTGCGCACCGCCCTCGCGTGGGCGGGTGCCTCTTGCGGAAGATCTCCTGAGCCCCCACCCGTGGCGGCGACCGACTTCGAGAGGGCCTTTGAGAGCATGCCTTTCTTGGTCCCATCCGCCCCCTAATTAGGCCAGCATGCTGGTCACGCAGTCCATCACGCCCACGACGGCAATCACGCTCCCCACGAGCACGCAGAACGCCACGATGAGCCGCCTCTCGTCCGAAGCGGGGCACAAGACACCGTAGCAGACGGTCATGATGATCTGTGCCTGCCACTACAGGACGGCGGTCACGCCCCCGGCATCAGACGCGCCGGTGAGCCTCTCCTTGTCCGCGAATGGCACCCACCCGACGGCGAACCAGGCTGGCCGTGGTCAGCTTGATCAGCCTGCTCAGGTGGGGCAACTGGAGCGCCTTCTCCACCTCGGCGGCGAGCTGTGACGTCAAGGAGCAGGAGGACTCGCTGTCCGACGTGTGCGCCTGGACCAGCAGCTCCGCCGGGGGCGCCCTTGGAGGACATGCGAGGGGGCGAGGAGCCGTGCAGGCGCGACGGCGCCTTCCCGAAAGTTGGCTTGCGCAAGGAGGTCTTGCGCCAAGAGGGGCCCGCAGCGAAGGTCGCTCCGGCCAGGGCGGCGGGGGGCCACCCTTCAGTCGGGCCTGTCCCCCCCACAGGGAGATCTGGGGCGAAAACTCGGCCATACCCCAAACATGCCCCCAAAATGGTCAAGCAGATACTCCGAAGATCGTCCCTGGACTATTCTCGGACTATTTTTGCACATCCCCCCCGGGTAGAGGGACAGGCCCGACTGAATCGGGTCGGGCGAAAGGGGGGGATAGCAAAGGGGGGATTTGAGAATCAGCTCGCGTAGCTGATTTTCCCGGCGCCTCCCGGCGCCAGAGGCGGCCATGTATCGAGGAATGGGCCCCTCGGTGGGGCCGAAACCAGCTGCACGCAGCAGATTTCGTAACCCCCCCTTTCCCAATCCCCCCCTTTCGTACGGCCCGATAGAGGGGCAGGCCCGACGGAAGGCCACCCCCGCGCGCCGCCGCGGCCCGCCCCGAGACAAAAAAAAAGCACGCGCGCGGGGGCGCCGCGGCGCGCGGCACGCGGGCACTGCCCCCGGGGCCCCCGGGGCCGAGCGCGTGCCCGCGGATACCCACCGCCCCGAAGCCGAGGGCCCCCGAGGCCGAGGGACCCGCAGAAATGGCGGCCGCGACGCCCCCTCGCGAACCGAGCACGGCCAGTTCCTGAATCGACGTGTCAGGGTAGGAGGCCTACGTAGGAGGCTTATCCACCTCCGATTTGGGGCAAGTCCCCGCCTCGGAACGGTCGGGCATGTCCCCCGACAGGGGGATGTTGGGAGGAAGATGGGAAAGAGTCCGATCGCACGCCGAGTCAGAAGTAGCAGAACCAACTGTTTTTGAGCAGAGGGACATGCCCGACTTGCACGTGAGGCTCGGGTTGAGGGGCTCAGGTCGGCCTGCCGGGGAATTCATGCAAATGGCGAGGCTCAGCCTGAAAATTGGCGCGAGCTCCCGCCGCAGACGTCCCACGAGAAGACTGGACCGTCAGAATCCAGGACGCGCTCGTCACAAGGCGTTGGATTTCGGGTTGGAGGGGGGTAATTACGGGCTCCACATGTGTTTTTTCCACGTTCGCCGACGCCCTCACCCCCCCTGAGAGTAGGAGGAGGAGGAGGAGGAGGAGGAGGAGGAGGAGGGGGGGGAGAGGAGGAGGCGGAGCGGAGGAGGAGGAGGAAGGAGGGAGGAGGAGGGAGGAGGAGGAGGAGAGGAGGAGGAGGAGGAGGAGGAGGAGGGAGGGCAAACTGAGACCCTCGGGTTGGGCTGGGGTGGTTCGGAGGGCGGTGAACAGCAGACGCCCGATGCCCCCGGGCGACGACCGCGGAGGGCGGTCGATACCCCCCGCCGACCCGTGGGCTGTCGCGTCCTCCCCCAGTGGTTTCCTCCTCCTCCTCCTCCTCCTCCTCCTCCTGCTCCTCTTCCTCCTCCTCCTCCTCCTGCCCCGTCTCCGCCCTGGACGGAGGAGCCCCAGACTGACCAAACGCAGACGGAGGATCGGGGAGGGGGATGCAGGAACAACCACCCTGAACTGATGAGTGAACCGGACCGAAGAACGCTGTGGTCGAAAACAGCACGGGGCGCACGAACATGTGTCACATACCAGCACGGCATGCCAACAACAGCTATGGAGGCGTACATGTCGACCACCATGCACACGAAACACATGGCACAACTGTGACGATGCACAAGTATTCGGCATTGGGCAAACCTTCCTTTAATAAACCACCTTTTAAAGAAAACGGCCTACGACCGAAACCGGACCTGGACCCGCAAAAATGACGGCCGCGACGCCCCCTCGCGAACCACAGACGGCCAATTCACGAATTGACGTGTCAGGGTAGGAGGTCTATCAAGTATGACATTGGCGGCTGCACCCAACCGAACGGGTCTCATCGGGAGGCAGCCAGCGAAAAGATACGAGACAGCCGTGGGCGTACCGAGATTGAAGGGGCCCTGGGATACACAAATAAATAGACAAATAACCGGATTCCCCACATTGTCCCATATGTTCTGGGCGTTCCTCTTCCCCCCCACTTCCCATCTTTTCCCAGATTTCCTGGGGAATCGACGATTAATTTTTGTGTCTGTGTGTTGTTTTCCCTCCCGAGAGGTGCGTGCCGCTGGCCCCCGCTGGAGCCGGCAGCGAACAGCACGGTGCGCCCAGCCGCGCCTGTGCGGCTGCTCCCCGGGGCGGTGCTCGGGACATCCTGCGCAGCCCGGCGCGCAGGCAGAGCGCGCACGTCGTCGGCGGCGAGGCAGAGGAGCTGCACCGGCGAGGAGCGACTGGGGCGACCTACTCCTAGAAACGCGAGCACAGTCGGACTCGATCGGACAGGACGCGCGAGAGGGCACAGGGCCCTTCCGGGGGCCACATCGCCACAGGAGTGTAGGAGACATGGGTCGCGAGGCACAGGACACGAGGCTACCCTTGACCTGGCAGGGCCGACCTGCCAATCCGGGCCGTCTGCAGGCCGGCACGCACGTGCAGACAGAGCATCGAACCAGAGAGGTCGGCGGCGTGCCTCAAGCCGAGCTGCGAGCTGCAGCGGGACCGCCAGACAAAGCGGGGGGGGCCCCCTTGTCGGGGAGGCGTGGGAGTCGGGCTCGGGGGACTCGGGTTGGCCTGACGGGGCCCAGCCTGAAAAGGACGAGGCCCAGCCTGAAGCTTGACGCGAGCTCCCGCTGCAGGCATCCCACGAGAAGACTGGACCGTCAGAATCCGGGACCCGCTCGTCAAGAATAGGAGAACGAACAGTGACATGAGCAGAGAAACTCGGAGGTCCGCGCGTATTTCTCGGATTGGCGCTCGACCCCCCTCCCTGGCGCGCGGAGGCGCCGCCAGGGGGGCCCAGCGCGACTCCGCGAAATCCACGCGGACCTCCGAGTCTCCGTGCTTGTGCCGCTGCTCGCTCCCCGAAGAGAGCGGCGGCAGACCCGAGCTCCGCCGCGCACGAGCCTTAATTACGTTGGGGGGCGGAAAGATACGGATACGTGTTTTCCCCGGACCTCTCTTGGGGCGCGTTCTGACCAGAATTTCGAGGCGAATCCAGCGGTGACAACGAGGATTCCCCAGGAGGACCAGGAAAGGCCGAAAACGAAGGGGGACAACACGTATCCGTATCTTTTTCTCCCCCGACCTTACGACTCCCCGGCCTCCGTGACTCCACAGCCCCAGGAGGCGGCCGGGTGGCCCGCGGCCTCAGGCCGAGCGCGCGCAGCGGCACGGCGCAGCGCGCCCCCTCGGCGCCCAGCAGCTGCTCCCTGCTGCGCAGGCACCGCCCGGAGGGGCCCCGCGCGGCGCCCGAGCCCAGGCCAGCCGGCGGGGGGACTCCCGGATGGGGCCCCGGCAGCTGGGGTCGGAAGACCGCGCCGCCTCGCCGGTGCATCGCCGATGCATCGGCGAGGCGGTCGGATCTCATCACTGGGCAGGCCACGCGAGAGGACCCAAGACCCTCCCGAGGGCCACGTCGCCACAGGGACGCCGGAGGCATGGGTCGCGAGGCACAAGACGCGAGGGTCCCCTCGACTCGGCAGGGCCCACCTGCCAGTCCGGGCCGACTGTGCATCGGCGAAGCGTCAGCGATGCATCGGCGATATGTCGGCGATGCATCGGCGCCATCCGCGTCGAGAGCATCGGGCTGCGCCAAAGAGCCGCATCGCGGACGCCATTGGCCATGCCATGCGGATCCTGCGACCACGGCTCCGTCCGGGAGGCCCGGAGCTCATCGGGGACCGGCCGACCCCCGCGCGCCGCGCCCACACCGAGCAGGGCACGGCCCGCTCCAAGCCCCGGGGGTCCTGCTCGCGCAGCCTGCAGCTCCTCAGCTGCTCCAGGGTGCAGCTGTAGTCGTGCTGCGCAGACTCGCAGTCGCGCTCCTGAGGCGGGGGGGGCCACTCCGGGGAGGGCGTCGTGGAAAACGCTCCGTGGCTTCTCCTGGGAGCCTCCCATACCCTCTTCGTGGCACTTGCGAGCCGACGCGTCTCGACGCCAGTCGACGCTGGATCGAAGCTTATTCGACACCAAAGCGACGCTGATGGACGCGAATCGACGCTCAATCGGCGCTATCTCATCGACTTGCAGGCGCTAGTCGACGCTACTGCACTCGAGAGACGGCATCCCGCGGGCACGCAAGGCTCACATGACTGATGTGCCTCCGAAGGAGCGGGGAAGCGCTGGGCAAGCCCGACCGACGGGCCACCGAGCCGGCACAGGCCCAAAGATTTGACTCTGGACTCACAAGGCAGCCGGGTGCACGGCAGGACTGGACCAGGCTGCGCGGGAGTAAGCCGGAGTAGGACGGTGTTCGGCCTCGGATGCAGCGCGGGACAGGACCACAAGGACGCGCGGCACAGTGGAGGCCTGTCCACAAGAGACCGTCCGCAAGAAACCCAGCCCCGAGACCCCAGGACGGCCATGGATTTTGGCGTGGGAGCGTCGCGCCTTCCACCGCAAGACCACCGAAGCCCAAGAGTCCCTGGAGGCAAGCAGGGTATTTCTTGGCACGGGCCTCCACTGTAGGCTGGTGATCGGCCGCGGATACAGGGCGGGACAGGACCACGGGGGTGCGCGGTAAGGGTGCGCGGGGGCCTCGGACGCCCAACCTGCCAAGCTCGAAGAGAGGTGGCCGTTCACCTGGGCCGGGCCAGATTAAACCCACGAAGCCAGCTAGCGGGATTTGGCCACATTGCACGGGGAACGAGCAATTCGATAGGTCCACTTCCTTCGTCGTCGTTGTCGTCGTCGTCGTCGCCGTCGTCTCCTCCTCCTCCTCCTCCTCCTCCTCCTCCTCCTCCTCCTCCTCCTCCCATCCTCCTCTGAGCCTGGTTGCCTGGTCAATGGTGGCGAGACCCAAGCTCGCTTCGCTGACCGTCGATGTGTTCGATGTAAATGATGATGATGATGATGACGTTGTTGTTGATGATGATGATGAAGATGCACATGATAATGATGCACATGATAATGATGCTGCTGACGGTGACGGTGACGGTGACGATGACGATGACGATGACGATGATGATGATGATGATGATGATGATGATGATGATGATGATGATGATGAAGAAGATGATGAAGATGATGATGATGATGATGATGATGATGATGATGATGATGATGATGATGATGATGATGATGATGATGATGATGATGATGATGGATGGAGGAGGTGGTGGGAGGTGGTGGTGGTGAGGGCAGGACGAGGAGGCGAGTGACACATCTAATTGCCAGCCGAGAACTTTGGGGGGGGGGGGGGTCCTGGTTAGCAGTAGAGACCCTACCGGGTTAAGGAGGGCCAGAGGGAAGGCGCAGGAGCTGTGCTGAAGACGCGAGGGGAGGAGGAAGGGAGGAAGTAGGGGACGAGGGTGGGGCAGGTGAGGGAGGGAAAGTGGGAGAGAGGAGGACCTCCACCTGGCCCCCCCCCCCTGGCGCGGGCTCCTGTTGCGCCACCCTGTCCCGGAGCTCGTGAAGCTCCGCCTCCGTCTGCTGGAGCACCCCTTGCGCGGCCTCGCGGCCGCCACAGGCGGGGGCCACATGGGGGGGGGGATGCGCGGGAGGCCGGGCGAGGGAGAGAAGTGACAAGGAACAGGGAGCAAGAACGGGTGCGACAAATAATGGAAAAAAGGGAAGGGGAATGTCTTGTTTGCTCGAGGGCTGTTCGGCGAAGTCTGACCCTCGGGCCGCAGCACCCCCCACCACGTGCGCCTCCGCCCGTAGGCCTTTAGCTTGTTGTTGTTGCTGCTGGTGAATCTTACTTTAG